ATAAATTATTTCAAAATACAGTAATTCTGGAACTGATAAATGCTGATAGAATAATATTTCTTAAAAAATTTAACTCTTCCTACAAATCAATTTAAGTCCAAATTTAATTTTAAATGTAAATTTGTACAATGGCATTTTAGTGTTTCCTCTAACACTTCCTATAAATTGGGCAGGTTGTACAAGAAACTAAAAGGAACCCTCCAACACTGCTGGTGGGAATGTAAATTACTGCAGACACTATGGAGGACAGTATGGAGGTTCCTTAAAAAACTAAAAATAGACTCACCATATGATCCAGCAATTCTACTCCTGGGCATATATCCAGAGGAAATTCTAATTCAAAAGGATACATGCACACCAATGTTCATAACAGCACTATTTACAATAGCCAAGACATGGAAGCAACCTAAATGTCCATCGACAGGTGACTGGATAAAGAAGATATGGGAGATGTGTATATATATATATAATGGAATATTACTTGGCCCTTAAAAAGAATGAAAAATGCCATTTGCAGCAATATGGATGCAACTAGAGATGATCATATTAAGTCGGACAATGACAAATATCATATGATATTATTTATATGTGTAATCTAAAAAAAAAAGATACAAATGAAGTTATTTACAAACCAGAAACAGATTCACAAACATAGAAAACAAACTATAGTTACCAAAGGGGAAAGGGGTTGCAGGAAGGATAAATTAAGAGTTTGGGATGAATTTATACACACTACCACATATAAAATAGATAAACCATAAGGACCTACTATATAGCACAGGGAACTATATTCAATATCTTGTAATAATCTATAATGGGAAAGAATCTGAAAAAGAATATATATAGATGTATATGTGTTACTGAATCACTTTGCTGTACACCTGAGACTAACACAACATTGTAAATCAACTATACTTCAATAAAAAGTGGCTTTCTGATTTGTATATGATTAAAATATAAAATAAAAATGTATGTAATTAATTTTTCATTCATATGAAAATATAGTTTTTCTGTTATATACAATAATACATATAATCTTAAAATTTAATTTCTATTGCTAAGACTATGGATTTTTACTTTGCAATGTTGTGGCGGTTTTCAAAACTAGGGATTCTAAACTCTAAAGTTTAGTAAGTACCTCACAGGCTTTATTGTGCATGCTTTTTTGGTGTGGTAACCTCTTGACAAAATTTATTGCCGAGAGCCCAAAATTGCAAGATCACAGATAATTTTTGATATTCTTTGGCTTTAATTCTGTGCAGATGCCACAGAGATGTGTCTGGGGATGGAAGGGGAAGCCCCTTTATCTCCACAGGGGCCCATCCTCCCTCCTGGGGCTGCTGCCACCAGTCTGAACCCAGGTCTGGGCACAGCCACTCCTCCGATCACGTGGCACCCCAGACTGTCCCACATTTGCCCTGCCAGGTGCTGGGTCAGCTTCTTAGAGCTGAGGTTGCCTGTCTTACCACAGGGGTGGGAGGGTAAGAATTGCTTAATTTCCTTTTTGGGGGTCCATTTTTTCTGTATTTCTCTCAAGAACAGGTAGTATTAAGTAACCAGACAACAAAAATGTGTTTTTTAATATAAATTATGTTCTCTGCTCTTTTCCTGAATGTCTGCCTTGTAACTTTGCATTTGTCCTGCCAGCTAAAGAACATTGCCCACCATCCAGTTTTACAAAAAATCAAGTCAATAGCCACTGCAGTCTCTGACCTACAACACACCTTGAAAGAACAGGATGAGGTACTCTGCGCTCTAGGAAAACTGGCAGAACAGGCCCTAAGATAGTTAGATATTTTCAGGAGAAAAACTGATGAACCAAGATTCTGACATCTTCCCATAGTTAGGAAAACACTAAAATCATTAACTAAGATAACTGTTCCTCATGACCAGCAGTAAACTTCTACAAAGATGTGTGATTTTTAATGTGTTCCTTCGCTAAAATCACATATATACTGACTTGCCCCCAGCTCTTGGGAGTAATCCCTCAGAACTGTAAGATACAGGCTGTCTTCTGGGCTGTAGTTCTCAGTAAAGTCCTCAGAACTAAAGCTCGCAGCTCCCCCGTATTCTGTTTTTAATTTAGTTGACAGTTTCTTGACATACGGGCACCTGAACAAGGTGTATTAGGCTGAAACTGCACAGTGGGCAGAAATCTGAAATTTGTTTTATTAAAATAACTACTTGCCCTTGGCTTTTTAAAGTTGTATCCTAATTTAATTCAGAACTATGTTCCACTTTAATTTTCATGAGTGACTTAATCTGTATGTGCCTCCGAGAGGCTCTTCTGTAATAATTTACGTTTGAAATTGCTCTGACAGGACAGAAGGTGTCTTAGAAGACAGTATTGCTCTGATTATAAATCCTTTAAAAACAATCTGAGACTAAGTAACAAGAATTAAATCTAATTTGTTTTGGGCCTCTTTATTAGGCAAGATGAGTGCTTTACACCTGAAGAGAGGAGCAGAAGGGACGATGAGCTGGTGTATCAGTGTAAACCTCTCTCTGACATCAACACTTCTACACTATTTTTCTGGGACACAGAAGAGTATTGAATCAGGAAATGATGGGGCTGCCAAGGAATTGTTTGCTTTTAAAAAGTATTTACTTCCTCGTTTCTCCTTAAGAAGACTTGAGTTATCTCATTATTTTGTCTTTTGGCGGGGGAGGGGTTGGTAATTAGGTTTATTTATTTTTAGAGGCGGTACTGGGGAGTGAAGCCAGGACCTCTAGCACTTGGGCCATACTCTCCCCCTCATTATTTTAAAGTAAATTAATCCCAAATTCATCATCTGAATTAAATGGAATAGAGATGCCAGTCAGCCTACAGGAAAGCTTGATGAAACTCTGTTCTCAGAAGCCTGGGCTCCCACTTAGAGTCTTCCTTCATCTTTTTCCCTTTTCACTGCCATTTTGGAGTCCAGCTAAGTCCTTCCTCATTTCTCTCCAGGGTCACAAAGACCTCTGGCAAGTATTTTCTTCTAAAAAAGAAAACAACTCAGATAAAAAGGGGGTGGCAAGCTGTGCCTCCTACAAGGGTAACTTAAGGGAGAAAAGGTCTCCTCTCTATAAAAGTCTATGATTAGAGCCGCTCTTTGGCAATAAGATACTGTCTCAAGAAAACCTCTATTAGTTACAGGTGACTAAAACATTGGCCTGTTACACCTGCAATCGTTTCAGCAAGGACAAATCCACTATCCTAGTCAGCACTTAACTAAAGGAGTTAGACTTTTATGGTGTTAACTTTACACAAACATACATGCACACACAATTTGAGCAGCTTTGGTCATCCAGACCAGTGCTTAGCACAGTGTAGCACAAAATTTACCTTCAAATATTTTAATTAAATTAATGGGTAGGCAAAGAAGAAAGGCTGTAGTATGTTCTGTGTGTGAACACAGGTGTGTGTGGGGTCTGGCTATTAACTATACCAAGGGTCAAAAAGTTTTGATGCAAGGATGAACACATTTCTCAGGCACTAATTTTCAAGTCACCAAAACCGAAATGAAATGGATAAAAGGCATCCTGACTTGGAATATGTTCGTCTTAATTCTTTAAGTTTTTAACTGCTTCGATATATCTTAAATTTGTAAAAAAAAATAAATTGGTATCGTAAAGAGTCACACAAACAGTACAAGAGTAATTTCTGCCTTTTTAATCTACTTTTTTTTTTTTTTTAAAAAAAAGATCATTGAAACTTTTGAGGACTTTGGAAGGATGGGAATAAAATGGGGAATTCTACATTTTAAGTTTCTCTATTTGGTTGTGTCAAATTCCAGGTAACTTCAATAACAGACAGCAATAGAAATTTACAAAGGCCCTGAAAAAGTTCATGCATTTTTTCAAACCTGGAGAAATTCTACTAGCCATCATCACTCCGATATATTTAGCTTATTTACATATTATTACTAGTATTTTTAAAAAGAAAACATCCTTTCAGAAAAACGGGAAAATTGGGAACCAAAGTCAGGGGCTCAAAGCAATTTGTTTTTTTGTTTTAGTTTTAAATGGCATTGATTTAGCAGGAACAGTTCAAACACACTCACATTCTAGGAAATAATCAGACCCAAGTGATTCACTGAGATGGGAAGAAAAAGTAATTAGCTTGGCATCTCCCGGATTGTTGTAAGAGCCTTAGTAAAAAAACAAAACGAGGAGAAACGCTTCAGAAGCCAATTCGGCTCCCAGACCCAAACCAAAAATTGATTTTGAGACTTTCTCTAAGGGCGAGCAGAGCAATGGGCAGGAAAGGAAAACAGCCGGTGGCGCCTCTGAACCAACCGCGGGCGGGGCGGCCAGGAAGCCCCGGGTAGGGAGACCCGCTCTCGGCTTTCGGAGAGGTGCTTCGGCGGCTCCACTTCCCCGCGAT